AGTCAAAAACAGAAAAAAATAAACAAGAACAAATACACATGTATCCCTGCAGGGTTTGGAATAATCTGGGTAGGGGATAAGTAAGATTTTAGCAGCTGCCGCAAGAAAGAAATGTCCAAAAAGTCATACAAATTTTGCATTTTGTTTTTTAAAAAATGCATATCAGTTTTCACATACATAAATATTCATTTTTGTAACCATCAACTAAAAATGATGATAAACTTCCTCACTTTTTGATACCACCAAGTCTCTCCAGGCTCACCTTGTGTGTTTCCTGTCCCAGTCAGTTTTTCCAGATGCCCTAGTTCCTTTTATTGGAGATGGTGTTAGAAACAAATCTGGGTATACTCCTTCCTACTGGAGTGCTGTTACTTCCAGGCCCTCTCAGTTTACAAATTAAGGGAATATATGTGTGTATGGTATCCCCTGTGAATACACATATCTACAAATATTTCTAAGTGAATCCATCTGTATCCATATTAAACTAAGCATGAATTCAGACTGATGTCTCCAGTTCTAATCCATTGCCACATTGGCCATTTTGGTCTTCTCCCTGTAACTTATCTGCAATTAGTCCAAAAGTGAGAAACCTAGATCTCACCACCCACCAATCATTTCTTCAACTGTTCAATTCCAGTTTATGTGAACAGTGGTATGAGAACTGTTAACCCTACCCCATGAAAAATTACTTTATCAACTAGAACAGAGTATTTATATACAGGTTAGTTTGCCTTTAGTTTAAAGAATCCACTTTTACAAAATTACTTAGGCCTGTACCTTTCTCTCCCACCTCCTGCAGCAAGGTTGTTTCACACAGTGGTAAATTAGATTCTCTTGTTGCAGTCTGAAGTCCATCCTGGGATCCTCCAACCTCCTAAATGATTTATTTTTAATTTTCATACATTAAAGTTTGCTTGCTATGAACTTCTATGAGTTTTGGCAAATGCATAGCATTATGTACTTACCATGACAATTATACAGAATAATTTTACCACCATAAAAATCCCCTGTGCTTCACCTAGTCAAACATTTCCCCATCAGCCAAACCCCTAGAAATCACTGATCTATCATCTCTTTAATTATGCCTTTTCTAGAATGTCATATGGATGGAATCATAATGAAGCTCATTCAGTCACGCTTCTAGCACTTCGCAACATGCAATTAAAATTCATCCCTGTCTCTTTGTGGCTTTACAGCAAATTCCTTTTCAATCACTAAATAATATTATATTGTATGGAAGTACACAGTTTGTTTATCCATTCATCTAAAGAAGAATACTTTGGTTGTTCCAGTTTTTGGTCATTACAAATAAAGCTGTTATGAACATTCATGCACAAATTTTTATGTAGACACAAGTCTTCCAATCAGTTGGGTAAACACCTAATAGTGTAATGTGGGATCATATGGTAAAACCATGTTTAACTTCATAGGAAACCACCAAACTGTCTTCCAATGTGGTTGTCCCATTTTGCAGTCCCACCAGCAAAGAATAAAAGTTCTTATTGTTTCTTTATTGCCATTAATTTGTTGTCAGCTTTTTGGATTTTAACCATTCTTTTAAGTGTATAGTGGTATCTCATTCTTGTTTTAATTTATAATTCCATGATGATAAATAGTGTTTGCTATTAACTGATTATCTATATCTTCCCCAGATTCTCATCAAAAAATACTCACTTGGGATAGAAATCAATTTACTGGGGAGAGAGACTGCTTTGAATATTGCTAGACTGAATATCCACTGTTTATGGAAATATCCATTGTTTATTGTTTATATGACATCGTACAAAGAATAATCTCTTGTTACAGATGCCCTCAAGGTATGTGGGGAAGGTTATGTTTACTTTGTTTGGGATTAAGTGTAAATAAAATTTTTGGACTTGAAGGAACAAAGTTTCACCTAGTCCAATCCTACATTTACACAGATGAGGAAACTGAGGCTAAAAGTCTAAGTGACTTTGTCAAAACAGTACTAACATAACTATAATATGTAAAGCTGAGAACAGAATCAGTTCCTAACTGCATGCCAGTGCACCCTCCCTTTACTATGCATCTCAGGTCTCTGCAATCACATCTCAAAACTGAAATGAATATGGGACTGCAGAGTCTAAGAGTGACAGGATTGTGAACACTGAAGTAAATCTTTTAAGAGTATAAAAGTCAAATTTAAGGATAACATAAAAAGCAGGAGTACCTTCCAAAGTAAAGTGACATTTCTCTCTTTTTTCATGATGTCTTCATTAATTATTCTCCAAAATTCAGGTCCTCTGACAGGAACTGCAAATCAACAAGAAGCCCAAGTTGTACACATGTTCTTGGAAGGACTGTTTTTCAGTCATATTTGAAACACACACTTTTGCATTTTTCTGAAACATTTATAAAATCTCGACAGACCTTTAATATCCAGGACAACTGTGTAGGCTGGAGTACTCCAATTACTCCAGTATCCCATCCCATCTAGCCTCTTGCAGCGCACCTGAACGGCATAGACAGCACATAGGTCTGGCACAGGCAGACTGGTAGATTTTGATTTTGAATCATACACCTCATACATCTGTGAAATAAGTCAAATCATTAGGATGATCATTACTAACACCTATGTAGCTAAGGGGCCATAAAGTATATTTCATTTTAACCTCAATTCCATTCCAAAATTAATAGAGAACTAACTTTTCTGGCTTTGGAAACACTCATATTAGATCAAGAGCTTCTTAAAGTTAAGGACTGACTTAGTCATCTTGTTATTTCCTCTTCATGACAAGATTTAGACTGGCTCACTTGCAACCTCACTTCCCAATCACTCTCTTAACCCTGTTACTTATTTCTGTCCACTAACCCTCTATTCACAAAGACTTGAGAATTTCAATCTAGTGGCTAATTAAGGCCTGCTGTAGAGAATCTCTGATAATCTCCTCAACAAGCAGGTAAACGGTCACATCCCTTTCAGTTGAAATCTTTGTGATGGAATGACATAATCAGAGCTCCTGATATTTCTAGGTCTTTGCCGGCAGAAAACTGATGCAGAAAGTCATCATATGCACACTTGCCACTATGGGTGCAATTCTGGCTGTTTGATAGAAGCAACTTTTCCAAAATGCACTCCATTGAACAAACACGTACTAAAGAATATTATTAACTATTAGAGGAGAAACCATTTGTTGATAAAATGAGTTCTAGAAACATAGGATAAAATAAAGTCATAAATGTTTCTTGAATCCAGGACCTCTCTAAACCTAATATGTAATACAGTGCTATTCTATACTAGGAACATACAGTGCAGGGATTCCTCAGCGTATTTAGCCATATGAATTTATTTCAAAGGAACTTTTTATGGGACCAGTGTCCTGTAAAACTCACGTTTGGAAATTATGGATTACAGGAGATTTCATCCCTTGGGTTAAAACCTAGATCAAGTATTTAACAAAAATAGCTACAGAATACACTAAGATGTACGTTTATGCAATAAAATAAATCTTATGCAAGAAAATTCTTAAGCAGTTACAAGAAATAACATTTAGTGAGACAAGCTGAAGAAATTTCTAGGTACAAAGTACCTTCCATTGTACTTCTTTTCCACTTAAACCATAGCGAATCTGGAACTGAAGATTATTCTCTGGGAAGACAGGTTTTTCCCAAGATATCTTCAATAATCCAATGTTTACAGTAATTTCTGCTTTCACACTGGATGGAGGCAGTGGTTTCACTAGAAATATTTAAGACAGTATTACATAATAGTCATTTAAACAGCAATAATCTTTAAAAACATTATTACAATGTTACAATCTTTCTTATTTTGTATTTATAAAACAATATGTCTCCAAACTATCTCATTCATTATCTTGTTTGATCCCCTACAATATTATGTAAAGTGCAAGAAAGGGATTATTTCCATTTTGTAAATAGAGAGGTTGATGGAAAAAAAGTAATGCTTTGTTGCTCAGCAAGTTAACAGTAACACCTGATTAGAAATTGAGTGATTAGCTCTGCATGCCAAAGATAGCATAATGATCACATGATAAATATCAATAGCAAACTCTGTTCTACATAGAGCTTTTAATAAAAGCCAAAAAAAAATTTTTTTAAATCATGAACCTCCTTCATTTTCTACATGTGTAAATTTCAAACTTTTCTCCTACTATTACTAAGTATTTCAAAGTCAAGGTCAGAGACAGTCTAGCTGCTTGAAGTCTTGGTTTTCAATAACCTGAAGAAAACAGTCTTCTAACGGACAGAAATAGAAGCAAAGATTACCAGAAAGGCAAGGGTTTTTGTTTCTTTTTTGTTCTTTTTTTTTTAAGCAAAATACTATACATGAACTCAACATACTTGGGAACTGTAAGTCACAAAAAGCACAAGCACAGCAGTGTGAGCCACTGAAGCTCCAGACGTCATCAGCAATACTCCTTTAGACTAATGGCGAATAAAATGCCTAAACTTATTCATTACTATACAGTTTCTCCTGCTTATCCAGTTCTTCATATACCAAGAAGGCATTCTTCAACCAGTAAGATGACATATCTTTCATCTCTTGAAAAAATACACTAACTTCTCCTCAGGAAAGGAAGTATGAATGTTCTGGAGATTTTAAGACTTTAAACCTGTGATTGTACTTGATTGAATCATATGGATACCATATGGATATAGCCCATGACTACCTAGTTTGCAGAAAGGATACTTTCAAGTCCAATAGTTTATGTGACCTCTACAATACCCACCCTGGAGAGGCGGGAGGAGCAGTCCGCATTTTGCGGATGATAAAACAGCCACAGAGCTTATATGACTAGCACGAGTTTTACAAAGCTAATAATATGAGAAGACGGCATTTGCTTCCCATAAGTTGAAACTCCACATTGTTTTCTAATACATTTTAAGTAGATAAAATGATCACAGCTGAAGGGATTCATGGTGCATTCGTTACATATTACATGTACGGGAGTATCTGTGCACGTTTGTTGTTCGGTGGGTAGGATGGTTCTTGCTATCCTAGGATATTTAGTTCCAAAGAAGTACTGCTTGGAGTAAAATCAATTAAAATGTAACCAAAATAAACAGTGGTGTTGGGAAGCGGGGATCAATTGAGACTTTATATTAATTAAGAAACCTAAATATTATGACAAGTTTATCCTATATTTAACGAAATGCAGATTTTAACTCAGATGTGTACAGATTTGAAAATATAATCATCAAATTTTGACTTTTGGCATAATTTCCCAAAAAAATAGCATATAGCCCCAAAAGATATTCTTTCACCTCTGCTACACAATCATAAATGGTCATTTCTCAAAGATTTCACAGTGATTCTGGAGGAATATATCATACTTTCCAAGGTTTCTCCTAATCTTTGAAATCAAAATATCTCTTAAAAAGGGAGTTTAAAATATCATGGATATCATGATTGTCTATTTTCCCTTCCTCATTTTAGTTATCTGAATCCTTCTGCTCCCTGTAAACAGACTAACAAATTAAAGCCTTGGATTATGACTACTCGTATTATGAAAACCATTAAGGTACCCAAACTAACCTCTAAATTAAAAACACCAAATGTTTTCATAAGTACATTAGGAGAAATACATAAGGTAGTAAATTGTTTACAATAATATTACTACTAAATTTCATTTCCAATAACCAATATAATTCATAGAATTATAAATTGAAAATATTCCTATATCCAACAAAAGGGATGCTATAAGTAATTTAAAATAAATTCAAAATTGTAAAACTTTTTAAGGCTGATTGTCTCCTCAATTCCACTGTAAACAGGAAGAAAAATTTCTTGTTTAAATCTAGCATGATTAGGAGATGATAAAATACAAGTTACCCTGAATCAACCTAAATCCAAATCTGCTAATAAAAATGAAGACACACACAGTTTGGCGTACCCACGGAATCAGGGACGACACATGTTGGTGGAGAGTCAAGTGAACCCAAAGAGTGATTGATTCTAATCCACATTGTATAGCCGGATAATAGAAAGATTGGCTGAAATATGCATTCATAAGAACCATCTCTCTGCAAGTGGCAATCTTTAGGTTCAGATATGGGATGAACAGCTGGAACATCAGAACAGTAAAGGCTGCTCCTTAAGAGAAATGAAAACAGTCAATAATCAACACTGATGAAAGCAGTAAGATATTTGAGAACTCTGCTTTGTGGTTTAAAAGAGACAATTTTTTTCTCCATCTAAAAATAGATGTTCTTATTGGAAAGGCATTTTAAATTCCCTGCCATTACACAATCTTGTGTCATTCCACAAAAATAGTGGGATGCAAATAAAATAAATGACATTGCTCTAAAAAAGGAGATAAGCATCCAATTAGAGATAGAAACTACAACACTTTGAAAGCTAAGCTAACAGTATATCTAGGCAACACAATTTTAAAAGTATAGACCACAGTAATTATGGGGCATTCCAGAGATAGGAAGGAAAGGAAATTTCTTATACTTTAAAGAACAATTAAATTCTACAACAAAGTGAAGACATAATTGATAGTAAACTTTAACTTAAATTGTGTCCTAACATTTTATGTTCAAAGCAATATAATAATACCAATTCTTGACTTGTATATGAATCATAAACATATCACAGAGAAAATTAAGAAAATTTTTTGTAACTGCATCATAATTAACACTCCACCTCAGAAAATTTAAGTGGTATTTAAGTGGTTAAAGAATTAGTTATTGTTTCCATAGGATGGAGTAAGAAGGTTACAAGAAAAATTCTGTATTCTTATGTCTCTAATTTTCATTTTAGTGACATGTTTTCTTTTCTATTTCCTCAAAATTACAACCATGTGCATGTGTGTGTATGGGTGTCTGTGAATGAGTGGTGGTGGCCAGAAGAAAATGAGAATGAGGGTTGAGGAGTCATCTGCAGGTAAAAAGTAAGAATTGGGACCTTGTATAGAAGCACAGTAATCAGGCCCTTGGAATCCAAAGGTAAGTACCATTGTCATCATGAGCCGCAACCATTTTTCGAATATTTGTCAGGAGACATTACATCACTTAATTATACTTAAGTGAAATATCTCATTAATTCTCACAGAAACTCTATGTTCCTATTCTCTCCATTTTACAGACAAGGAAATTGAGGCTTAGGTTAAAATACACTCCCAAGTACATACAGCTAAAGTAATGGTTCTGTAAATATTTTTAATAAGATAAATGAGGCACACAGCTTATGTAGTATTTGTTCACAAATACCTTTTCAAGTTTGAAAATGCCATGGAGAGAAAGTAAAGACAGATTATAAGAGTAAAATGGCATATCACGAACGTTATACTGATTTAAAAATATTTCTGGTAAGATGAAGGCACTTGTTATTCCCATAAGATAAATGCAGAAATTACCCCATTTTTTTCTAATGTTACATAATAATAGACTAGTAGCATTTAGGAATGGAATTCAGATCACAGCATTTGAGGAAGGGATTTGTTTTTCAAGTAGGAATTTTAGATTTTTAAGAATAAATGAACATAAGTTATACAAAAGAAAGTCCTCAATACAAATACAAATTGTATTTGGTGTTTAAGAGCAGTATACATACTTGAAAACTACTATGGGGTATTACAAAAATAAAGATGTATCTACCTTCTCCTAATAAAGAATGCTATTATTTTAGATAAAACTCTTTGTAGAGAGAAGGTGAATACTATGGGGAGATGATGTCTTGAATTCTTTCTAAAACAGGGAAGGATAAAAATAAACAAGCACAAATTATTACACTTTACTCCTTACTTAACAGTTCTTTCTTAAATAATCTTACCTACTTCTAAAAGCCATTCATATTATCTCTTAAAATCTTTGTGCCACTGCCTCTGACATTTTTCAAGGCATTAATATTTAGCAAATATTAGGCTTCTATAATCCTCAGTATTCTTCTGTACTCAACTCTCTAAATCAAATTAAAATGTAAAGAAACCAACTTTTCTTAGATTTCATTCAACAGTCAATACAATTATGGAGAATTAATTATCAGAAAAATATTTAGAGGAGAAACAAGTTACCATTTTTTAACCTCAAGTGTGAATTTTTTTAAAAATCACCAATTTAGTTAGCCCCTCAAATAATTCCTAATTAACTACATTCTACCTTCCTCTTTCAGAAAGAAAATCTACAAGACTGTTATGATGATATTTCTATAGGAAATTTTATCTCACCATATACAGAGGGAAAAAAAACAGCAAATAATCATACATACCTATGATACCTCAACTGCAGAGAACTTCCCACAAGTGCTTGGATTGCATTAGTTGCCCATCTGCAAGTCATTTTAGTTAAGTACCCATCAGTTTCACATGATATATTGATATTGACATCTATTTAAAACACATTAAAATATTAATATAAAGCAAAAACATCAATAAAAACTTAATGAAAATAATATTTTCTCACACCCTCAAAAGGACTCTAATAAAGGGTCCATAGTAAAACATATATCTTGTAAAAGGAAATGAAGGAAACCTGAGTATTCTTACCAATCACATATAATTCAGCATAGCGATGATGGCATTCATGCTCATTGCAGCAGTACACTGCATCATAGGTGAACTTCCCTCGAGGCTTGGTTGCATTCAAATTGGGAAAAGTAACTTTGCTAACATGATCACCCACAGCATTATACTGGCTTTGAGGAATTTTCTCAGCTAAATTCATCCACCAAACAATCTTTTTTGAGGAGACAATCTTGTTTTCATTTTTATAGATGCAATGAAAAGAAACGTTAGACCCAACACTTGTCAGAATTTTAGGTGGAAAGTATATGACATCTGTAATGAGGGAAGGAAGACAGGATATCAGATGAAGGCAGAAAACACCATGTAAGCAATTTACACTATGTAAAAAAAGATTCACGATGCATTCAGGATCACACTGAATGAATGAATCAATCAATCAATGAGCGAATGAATCAATGAATGAAAGAAATGAGAGTCCTAAGGAACTACATAACTGTAATTGCCTGTTCCTGTACAGTTCTTAATGTCCTAACATCCCCATTCTCAAATGACTTGAACTTCTATAAATGTCTTCAGTATTTTCTAAACATAAAGATTTATTCATTATAAAACATATTTTAGTGAGACTGTCCCTTGCAACCAATCAGCAGAAAAATGATGAAAATGAAATATAGTTCTAATTCCATAATGACATGTTTTCCATCCCATCACACTGTAAGACTCAGTGAAGCTCAAATTCTTAAATCAAATTACTATTAGACAAAATCCCAAAGGATAAATGGTGGTTACTTTGTCTTGTTTGGATATATGAAAATTTCAAATAAGCCAGTAAGGTAGAGAAGTAAGCTTTAAATAAGAAAACTAAGTAGGAGTGTAAAATCAATGATGCATCAATATACAAAGCAGGAAAAGCTATAAATATTGGTCTGTAATATCATTTTAAGTTCTTTAATGCCACTATCCTGTGGTTGAGGACAAAGGAGATCAATTCTTTCTAAAATATTATTTGTAATGCCTATACACAATTCCATATTACTTTTTACTATTGTTGAAAATACAGTTAGCCTAAATTTTTAATGAAAAAGAGAATTAAAGTAAATGACTGTTTACATAGGAAAAAATTATTTCTGCCATGGTACATTGTAAGGACAGCATATTTCAGCTTTACAATTTAAGGTAAGCCATTTTCTGCAATAGACTATGAATGCTGTTTTACATATCATCTGGATTACCCCCAAAACAAAAACCAAAACACTTTATTGGTTTACATTATTTAAGTATTTTTTGTAATAGCATGCTAAATTCGAATGTCTTTTTATTTACAATCTATACAAAACATTTGTATTTTATGTATCTACAATAAAACATAAGAAGGAAAAAACTGAGTAGCAAATTACTTCTGTAAATTTAATATTTAATTTGTAAAATAAGAAAACAATAATGATTTTCTTCTCATGATCAAGTAGCAATATCTTCCCAGAATCTATATTAATAAATTTTATTAAAAGAAGAAACTCTATTGATAAATATTAGTGAATTACTCAAAAGAACATAAATCATGAATCAAAACATTTTCCTTCATTAGAGCTCCAGAAAACAGATATTTTAGTTCTTGGCGATTACCTATTTTTCTTTCAGTGGAAAATATTTTCTCACATCCATTATAAGAACTACCAAGTATGAAATGTAGAAATTATCTAACATCTGTTTCTCCTCTTCTTCAGCAGTAACAAGAATTCAGTTAAGAATTCAGCACTTCTAAAGTTGCTCTTAACATGTACCATAACCTAATTGTAATATTCTTAGACCATAAATTCTGGCAAGGTCCTGAATTTTCCTCTAAAAGACCAAGATCTCACAAAAGCAATAAAGAACCTAGCTGATTTATTTCAAAAGAATTTGTAAGAATACCTTGAACAGGAATAGTCAATGCTTCATTAACAGTGCAGCTGGTAGGGACAGCTTTAATGTATCAAAGAACAAAAAGCAGTAGCTAAAAAGGTACCGATAGTTAGCATTCTGTTTGCTATAACAGCAATACATCAGAGTTAACCTCTGTTCAAAAAAAAATAACCAGAAAAAAATTCAGAGTGTTTGGACATGGTAAGGCAGGTGTGCTAATTCATTTGCAATAAATTAATACCTCAGTCTTATAGCATGTTTCTGTTTAGTAGATGCCATATAGTGCCTACCACTGAACAATGGAGGAGAATATAATAATATTAAATGCCCAGATTTAGAGGAGAAGGATTTGAATCCTTTTTGAGAATAGGAAGTTCTCAAGTTTGGAGAAATGTATTTTGTTGTCACACACTGTTCGGGAAACAAGGCTCAAGTGTGGTAAGTGCTGTGGAGTGTAGAAATTGCTGCAGAGGTAATTCAGCAAAACTAAACTTAAAAAACCTAAGCAACACTGAAGCTTCATTTACTAGGAACCATGAAGCAAATGAGGTGTTCCACTAAAATACTCTGTGTAATTAAGCTTACGGCTTATTATTTTTGAGGACCAATTTTTAGTGCTCCCAGAAACCTTGCATAATTATACATTATTAACTTACTCTCCTTATTGAGGGTTACAAACACGAATTTGGAATTAGACTGTCAGCCCTCCAACTTTCTAATTGTGTCAACTTTTACAAGTTACTTACCCTCTCTACATCTCAATTTCTTTGTCTATAGAAGAGGAATAACAGTATCTATATCTCATAAGGTTGTTGAAAGGATAAAATGATCATATATGTAAAGCACTTAGAAAAGTACCCAAAACACACCCTATAACTGTCACTATTACTATTAGGGAATGATGAACCTAACTATCCCTTTTAATTGTATCAGTACACATCACTGTATCATTACAGTCCATGATCTGTAACAGAGAAATGTGCTTGGAAGCTGCCGAGTGGGTAAGCTTTTCTCCCCACTCCTGTATCCCCAGTCTACTTTCCATCTGGTAGATTTGTCTTTCCTTTAATGATCCCCTGGTACCACTCAGTGGCATCTCAGCTACCCAAGCTTGCTACACTAGAAAGCTTAGCTTCACACTCATAGCTCAGTCAACAAATTCTGCCTTTTGCAACTGTCTCTATTCATTCTTCACTTATTTTCAGATTTTTCTGTTTGGGATGCCTAAATTCACTAGAGGAACATGCCTGTGTTGAACAAATAAAAGACTAGCTGTTAATGAAAATATTGTTAGATATTGTGTAAGCAAATAAATTGGCAAAGTTTCTTTTCAACAAAGTATCTTTATTACTTTTATGTACACAAAACACTAAATATCTGCGTGTGAGAGGGCATATATATGTGTATGTGCTTTACAGTATATATTAATAAATCTGATTATGGTATATGTGAAAACATAAAAATATGATATAACACATTAAGAAACCAAGTAAATTTAATCCTACAGGTATGAACTAGGAAAGTAATAGAGGTATAAAAGGGGTTAGTATAAGGTAAAATAAAAATAAAACTATGTCCATCCACAGGTCTAAAAAAAAAATCCAAAACAAAATCTACATGAAATGTTATCACAAATAACTATTGTAGTACACTCAATCAAAATGTCCCTCTTAATCCAAATGAATATATAACACTGCTAAGAATCATTATTCAGGAATGTATAAATATATAACTTGAATATTAGCAAACTTTAAAAAAAAATAAAGATTCTTTTACAATTTGCCTCTTCTTCAGGGAGGGTAGGCTTTCAGATCTAAGTAAAGAAATGAAATGGTAATGAATAAAGCCATGTTCTTGTGGAAGAGAAACATTTCAACAGATGGTTACATAAGGCAACAAATCACAGGCCACTCAGCTGGGAGTGGGGGCTGCTTCCCTCCTCCACCACTCGCTTCACCTCACCCCTCACATAAGAACCTCTACAGGACAGTCCTTGAAATATGGTGTTGTTCATTCATTCCTCTCTAGATTGTTCTGAACTGGTCAGTAGGCCTACTAATCAATGATATATAATTGAAGATTAAAATGTTAACCTTAGAAAAGGTTAGAAAAACCTTAGGAAAAGAAAAAATTCCAAAAGCTGATTTGTCAGCATCCTATTACAGGCAGTGTGATGTTCAACAATTATTTGAGGAATTGACATGAGACATTCACATCTTCTAAATCTGTTCACACCAGGTCACTGACATTCTCGGTGAAAATTAATTCCTCCCATTGCCTCCCACTTTGTTTAGCTCTCCTCACAATCTTACCTGTGAGAACTACAAGAATTAGCTATGTATCTTGTCAATCTCTCACCTTCCATTGGCATTGAAATTCTGAATACTGACATCGTGGATTTATGAAGTAGATAGTATCGACTACCTACTGAGTGCTCACTAAGGCCAAGCACTGCAGCAAGCACTTTGTGTGCCTTATTTCATCCTATGCACATAAAAACACTCCTATTTTACAGATAAGGAAATTGAGGCATAGAAAGGTTAAGAAACTTTCCAAGTAAGTGGTGGGGCCAGGATTTTATAAATTTCTGTCAGTGCTCTTAAACCACTAATGCTACTTACATTTTTAACTCATCAGTGCATTTTGAATCATAAGTAACTAATACATCAACTTACTTAGTTAAATGTGTTGACTATCTTCTTAGTGTTTTACATGGTACTTCTATCTCCATAAATCTATAATCAACCTGAGTTTGAGTAGAAATAATTCTGCTCATTTTGACATGTCACACAACTAGGCAAAGGATCATGAAGTGTCTTTCTCTCATCACAATCAAGCATGTGACCAGGTAGGACTATTTAAGGCCCATATGTAAACAGTGTATATCAACTTCACGAGGAAGTTGTGAATACACTACAATTTCTCTGATATTAAAGATTAATTAAAACTATTAAAATTGAAACTGAAAACCCTCAAAAGCATGCACCTGGAGTGAAAAGAATTATTCTTTTATAATATGCACTAGTCAAATAAAATTTTAACATTTGAAATTTATGTCCAATAAATATGTCTGATTTTCTAATGGAAATTAAAGAAACATGAATACAGGTAGTTTTGAATTTGTAAATTTGGAACTTTTGTATTAATTCTATCTTTTGAATAAGAGTAATTCAGCAAGACACTGCTATGGACAGACATAAATCTGGGAGACTGTATACAAGTTTTTGTTAACAAGTTAACTTGTTCAAAATGTAAGTAAAAAGTTAATATTGTGTTCCTCCTTTTTGGTTTATTACCAGAAAATGTAAGATGCTTCGACCATGTCAAAGACAAATTCAGGAAGCACATTCCCCTCTCAATTCAAAACCTACCTTGTGTGGTAAAGATAAGGGGGCTGCTCCAGTCGCTCCAGATCCCTGGGCCATCTAGTCTCTTGCCTCTCACCTGAACCTCATATGAAGACCCAGGAAGCACCCGGTCTACTAGCAGAGATGTAGCTGAGACAATCTCATCAGTCTGTTAAATATTATTTGAAAACATCAGAGCATCAAGTCGATGTAGAACCTTTACCAAAATTGATCACAAGGAGGTCTCAACAAATTTCAAAGAATTAAAATCTTACCAATAGTTACCTGGCCACAGTGGAATTAAGCAACTGCTAGCTAAGAATTGCTTAGTGAATAAATTCAGTTTCACAATGACATCAGAGCTACTGACTCCAAAGCTACTTGGCATCTAAACTATTGGTCTCTCTGACCTCTTTATCTATGGAGTGCCATAGAATAAAAATAATGAAAAGCATTAAGAATCCCTTAAACAATATCAGACCATCCATACCTAAAATCCTCCATTTTACAGATGAGAAAGCTGAACCCCAGAGAAGGCTTAACTCTGCTTTTTTCTTATATGATACTAGGATTCCCATTCTGCTCTTTGCGAAAATAAGTTCTTTAAAAAAATTTAGCCCATACCTAAAAAGATAGGTTTTTACCTCTAAATCATAACAATTAGTTTCACAAAATAGTGTCTCAGCCCTTGCACGGCCGCCAGGCTCTTTACATCTCCTCCCTGAGCCTCTTTGATTCACCTGCTACTGCTCCTGCCCTCACTCATTCATTCTGCTGGCCTCCAGCTTCCCGTCCAGCGTAGAGCCTATGAATGGCTATTTTCTCTACTGGAAACCCAATTCCCCCAGATACCTATTTCACCATCTCTTTCAAATCCTTGCTCATATGTCACCTTCTCAGTGAAATCGTCCCCATCTCGTCTTATTATTACAACCCATCACTGACCAGCCACACTGCCAAGCTCCCTGCCCTGGCTGCTATCCCAGTGTGCCCTGATGCCAAGCACAATAGCTCTTAGTGCCTAGTCGGTGCTCAGTCAGTGCCTACTGAAAGGATGAAAAATGGATTTTGACACACTTTACAGTACAACTGCATGCACTGCATATAAACAAATACATTGAACAATTTTTTTAAAAGGATGAAATGTAAAATCAGGAACTAGAGAAGGTCTGTAGGTGAAAAAATTAAATTATGAATTCAAGTTTCTGTAACTGGACTTTCTGTAGCCATTTAACTGTGTGTGAATGAGAGGAGAGGGAGAAATGGGGGGGTGTGGTAAGAGAGAGAGAGAGAGAGAGAGAGAGAAACTTGTTTGGAAGGGGAATTTTTCTCTGGTACTAAATTTAGGGAGGAATTTGTCATGCGCGCCCATGTTGCCAGGCAGCTGCATCTGGGGAGATCTCTCCCTACTCACTGGGTGAAGCACAAGGAGAAAACCTCAACCTGGACGGGAGAGGGTTCTTGACTCTGAACAAGAAAGAATTCTCGAGCAGGTCAGAAGAGTGTAGGTAAAGATGGAATTCATTAAAGCAAGAGCAGCAGGGAATGGCAGCTGCTGCGCAGGCAGCAGCGAACAGTAAGTGCAGAGGGCAAGTTCACGACCTAGGACAGATTCCATGCCAACTCCTGAAACCAGGGTCACCTGGCATCCTGTGTCCACTTGGATCAGCACAGCATGGGGACTAGCCCCCACCACCCCAGGATTTGAGGGAGCCACAGAGCACAGGATGGAGTGAGATTATGTTCTCAGAACTTCCCAAAGAAAGGAAATGTTCAGGCAGGCTACTAAGAGCAGATCACACAGTGGCAGCTCCGCCCAGGTCACCCAGGCGACAGAAACAAGCAGGCCCAAATCTGAGCTCTCAGCAGCCCCTTCCTACTTATCAGGAGTAAAACAGAGACAGAGAAGAAGACTTGGAAATAAAATGAAATCGCAGAGACAAACGACAATAATTTGAGCAGTGAGAAAGCTTTATCTGAAAGTACACACTTAAAGACAGGAAAGTGTGGGTGTCCTCAGAGAGGAGGCATGCTGAAAGTCTGGAGATTCTATCTCTTAAAGCTTTCAAGAGTGGAGCAAAGGGCAGAGAGGGCCTTGTTGGGTGTAGGCTTGACTTGTGGTCTCAAGGTGCTTCTATCTCACTGGTGAGAGACACCATGTCTCCTTTCCTTTCTTACCAGTCCTCCAGCTAATTCTGCTAAATAAACCCAACACCAGGTATTTATTTATCCTATTCTTCTCCAAGATGGTGGTTACTCTTCAGCAGTGGGGACATATCAACTCAGACTGCCTGCCCTGCCTTAAGGTAGGCTGTTGAGCTATTGTCTGATATCAGAGAATAGGTTAGGAATCCTCTCAACTCTCTGCATTTTAAAATGGAATCTTAGCCTTAAGATGGGTTTCCTCCTGTTCTTACTAAACTGTTTATATCTCATCAGTTTTCATCATAGGAAGGAAAAGTTCATCATGATGCTTGTCCCATGTCCCTGCCCCACCTCACCAATATATACCATAGATCCATATATGAGAGATATTGTGTAAAATCAAACCATTTTTCTAAGAGCACATACAGAAATGCAAAAGTACTATTCATGTGGCCATTTTCCATGTTGCTATTAAATGAAAGCCAGAGGTGTGACATTAAATACCTGATTTGCTCTAGAAGGAGCACGTCCATTTGGCATGGAGAGGGCATTTTCTGAGGGATTTGGTGGGGCTCTCAGCTTACTCTAGTTGCTTCTTAACGTTTCACTTTATTTATGAAAATATACTTACCTTTCTCGTATTAACTGTAGAATTTTCTGAATATTTCACTTGATATTGAAGTTGAAATGGTACCAATGTTGGGCTGGACCAAGAAATCTTTAGATTACCAGTGTCTGTGATTTCCATATGCAAGCCTAATGGTGGATCAGGCTTCACTTAAGAAAAAAAGAGAACACTTTTAAGTTAAGCCATGTTTGTGATAGTCACAAAGTGAATTTTTAGCATATCCTATTCTTTCAACTACTTAAAAGGTAACTTTATTCAAAGGCCAATTACAGAACAAAAATATTGGGTTTACTCCTTGTACCTTACCATAGCAATCCACGGATCTTCATTTCCTTCTCCCTAAGTGGTAGAAACTATAAATCAGTAAATGAGGTTATTCTGATAAATGCAAATTCCTGCTGTAAAAAGCCTGCTTAACTTTATTTAACCTAGCATTTCCCAAATTTAATTGAAGCCTCCCACACACATACACACCCACTGCTTCAGTGGGTAAGAAGGAAAAAAACATTTTGTGGGGCACTGCTTGGAAAATGCATACAAATTATGCATGCAAAACTTCACATAACTTTGCATGCAAATATGCATACAAATTTCAATAAATATATAAATTTTGAAATACAACAATCCAGACATATCTACTCAACCCACAACATGCATATTTTACATGCAGTGCACACAGCATTAGCAGGCCCTGGCTTGTCACCAGAAATGGGGATGGAATTTCTCAGCCTACTTGAGTGTTTAACTTGGTAAATGATTTCTGAGTTCATATGTATACCCATGTGTTTATGTACATATATGCAATTGTATACATAAATATGTGGAGATGTGTATCTATGTGTGTGTGTGTGTGTAGTTTTAAACATACAACAAAACCTTTAAAGTATTTGCAGAAATGTAAACATCTTACAGTAAAGGATTGATTGAATAAATAATGGTTTATCCCTACAAGGGAAATCTATACAGCCATTAAAAATCATATTGGAGAAGAATGTTAAAAATATTTAATATTGTTAGTTTAGTTTATTAAACAAGCATCTATACTTGAATTCCTGATTTGTTAAAATTAAAAGTAACAAATAAAAGGATATGTATAAATATGTATTAAAAATAGAAAAAATGCCAAAATTATAGAAAATAGGTAATGCATTTTTCTTCTTTGTGTCTATGTTTTCAAAACTTTAACTGTTAACAGGAATTAGTCATGTACATAGAAATAATTATTGTATTGAAACATACACTGATTTGAATTTTACTTTCAAAAGAAATAAATTTCACATTCTATATTTTCAGGAATTTGGACATAGGTTTTCTAATTTTCTTGAGTCAATATTAATGGAGATTTTACTTTATATGACATATTACAAATCTCAGTTACTTTCAAGCAGAGACAGATAAACACTAAAGTCTAAAAACAACAGGTGAAATTCAGAGTTCTCATAACCAAAAAGAAAAAAGACACCAAACAGAAGTGAAATCATAAAATTATAACCTACTGTACATTTCCTACCTGCATACATAAATGTCTTATTATTAGAAATCTAAAAAACACTCTTTCCCTGGAACACCTACGTTCCAAGTCCTAGATATATTCCCATTTCCTGCTACTTTCAAAGCAATATTCCTCAGAAGAATTGGCATTGTTCCCTCTCTCCACTTTGCCTCCCATTTTTCTAATCAACCCACTCTGATCATGTATTCTTCCTTGTCAATCCACTAAAACTTCTTTTACCATTGTCACTATGTGTTCCAAATCCAATGTCAACTGTCTGATTCATTTTACACTACCTCTGAGCAGCATTCCACACAGTTATTCACTCTGTGAGCTCACACTGAATTCTAAGTAGATATTCAATTATACAATGCTAGAGCCTCTCAAATATACATCTCCCCTGAATTCTAACCTCATATATCCAATTGGCTACTTACATCTCTCTTGGGTTTAAAATAAGCATCCCAAACATAATGTGTCACACATCTAATCTTCCCCAAACTCCCCTACCTCAGTAGTTGGTACCACTATTCAGTGGCATGTTCAGGTCCACGGCTGAGGATTATATTTGATTCTTCTCTATCCTTCACACTCCACACCTAATCCACTAGAAAGTTCAGTCAACACCATCTCCCAAATAGATTCCAAATCTGATCATTTCTTTACTTCTCCACTGCTACAACCTTAAGGCAACTGGACAATTCCAATAGCCTCCTATCTGAGCCCTCTGCTTCCACTCCTGCAACTATCCTCCCCTCTTGCCCATGAATTTCCTTCTCTACATGCAGAGTAAATTTTAAACACACACACACACACACACCTGACCATATCATTCTACCATTCAAAAATTTTCATTACAATTAGAATAAAATCCAAACTTTGTGACCCTGGCCTATTGTATGTCCTGGACCCAGTTAACTGTATGATCACATCTGAATATTCTCCTACCTCATTCACTCAAAGCCTAAGGGCCTTCTCTTGGTTCCTCCAATTTACAAGCTCAATCCATCTCAGGGATTTTATGAGTGCTTTTCTTCCTCTTAGGTCACCTTTTGCTCTGGATTTTTGCATGGCTCTCCCTTGTTCATTCAGCTCACATGCTATCTCCTGATGTCTTCTTTGACCTCCATAGCTGAAATAATAGCCCCCACATGTGACACTCTCCATTTCACTATCTGTTGTATTTCTATTAAGGCATTTACAATTTTTGGGCATTATCATATATGCCCAAATATAAGGAAAGATTTTTTTCCCTGAAATAAGGCAAAATTATTTTTAAGGGTCTTATAAAGTCTATCACACACCTTCTCTTAACTACTGTATTTTTAAAAACAATTCAATGCTGGCTAAAAATGCTTCCAAAAATCATCTGACATAACTAGTTTTTTAAAAAAAGATTTTATATTATTTTTCCTGTGGTATAACTGAATTGCTTGAATTCACTATACTATGTTGTGGAAATCACAAAATATATCCCCAGAGAACAAATTATTTGAAAGTCCTATTATTAAAATATGATGTCATATGTAGCTTCAAAGAGTACTATATCCCCAGTAACTCAGAAAGAAGTGAAGGTGAAGTGTGTGAAAAATTACATCTGATATCTGGAAAAATGGCTCTACTAACATCAAAAACAATAATGCATGTAAAGAGTTTGTATATAATTGTTTTAGAAATTATAAGTGGAAAATAGTAACACTGTTAAATTATGTATCATTTATAATCTATAATTTAATGTACATACACAAAATTGAGTTAGTAAATTATTTATTATGTATTATTCACATTGGTAATTATATATTCATGCTGATTAAAAGAAACTTTGGGAATCTTCACACTAAAAATATGGGCATTGTATATTATTGAGTTTTTCTTATAATCAGATTTGTACAGCAAATTGGTTAATTGTTTACCTCTTTATTGTTTCTTTCTACCCATTATTGTTTGTCCCTGCTCTACTAGGCAGGAACTTTGTCTCATTCACCACAGCTTACCCAGTCCTAGATCAGTGGCTGACATAATGAGCCTCTAAGAAATATTTGCTGGAAGGATAACTGAGGTAAAAAACAAGCTCCTAATTATTTTCAGAAAAAGCTATTTGAGATCCAGGATTTAAAGAAGTGAAACTGTTTTCAAGGAAGAATTTAAGTTATAATTACAGAGTTATCTCTACTACTATTCAGTCATTCCAGAGACTGCTCTTAATCTGCCCAGTACTACCATCCTTACAGCACTGGTCAAAGCAATATAACAACTGAAGAATTTTGTAAGCAATTTTGAATCTGTTTGTGTGACCCATGTTTAGATCTATTATCTTTTCTAGGTACAACTTACCAACAGTTATGGGCTGAACCGACATCAGAGGTGACTGAAAATTTATTCCACCAGATGTGATTTTCAAATACATAAAGAGCGTACAGCTGAGCTTGGCTGTTGGCACAGGCACCTGGCATTCACAACATTCACGAGCACTGCAGCTGCACTGAGCAACATGGAAACGGCCTTCCCGGGAGACCAAAGGCGACTCTTCCAGCACATCAGGTCTATATGACAGAAGGAGAGCTAAGTATCAACATACACCTGAAGCGCTGGTATATTTAAAGTATATGACACAAAATCCAACTTAAGATACACCCTTCCGGACTCCCAGCTGAAAAGGCCACTTGGAAAAAAGGTACATTACATCAGAGAAACAAAGGTAAGGGTTAAAGCAGGTTAGCCATCAGAAATAGTATAAGCAAGAAGACAGTGAAGCAACAGTGAATACTGAAAGGACAGAAAACTTGTGATCCTAAAACCATACACCTGATAAAAACGTCTTTCAAAATAAACATAAAATAAAATGTTTTTTCAGACATACCAAAACAGAAGTCATCACCGCAAGTCCTGCATTATAAAAAGTGCTTAAAATCCTTCAGGCAAAAAGAAAACGATAGCAGATGAAGTCTGATTCCACATAAAGAAATGAAATTGAACTAAAAGGGTAAATATTTATTGACTGTTTAAAGCAAAAATAAAAACCATGGGGTGTGGGGTTTATAACATGGGTAGGAAAAAAATATGACATTAGCACCAACCTTGGGGAGGGGGAGATATGTAAGTATCAACATGTAAGTATAATGTTTTTGTACTATACATGAAGTGGTCTAATATCACTAAGAGGTATAATATACAGTTAGACAATAATAAGTTAAGGACCTATATTATAAACCCTAAAATGACCACTAACATAATAAAAGAAGTTACAGATAATAAACTAGAATATTAGTGTAAAGATCAACAAATAGATTAATGAAACAAAATAGAGATCAATACCTATACGGACAACCAATTTTCTACAAAGGTACAAAAACAATTCAATGGAGAGAGGGTAATCTTTTCAATAAACTGTACTGGGACAATGGGCTAGTTATATGCCAAAAGAAAAGTAAAATTTCAATCCATATTTCACACCAGAGTCAACAATTAATTTAAAATTGGGTCATCAATCCAAATGTAAAACCTAAAGCTTTGAAACTTCTAGAAAAGATTATGGGAAAAAATTTTTGTGACTGGGTTAGGTAAGAATTTCTTATTGCAACACCAAAAACATGTGATTCATAAAAGAACAAATCAATAAAATTAATTTTTATCAATATTGAAAACTTCTGTTCTTCAAAAGATACTAGGAAACATAAGAAAAATGCAAAAGTAGACTGAGAGAATATATTTGCCAATTGTCTATTTGATAAAGGACTTGTATCCAGAAGATACAAAGAACTCTTAAAATTCAAAAATAAAACAAACATTCCAATTTAAAAAATAGGCAAAGATTTCAACAGTCACTTCTCCAAAGGAGATATAAGAATAAAAATAAGCATGTGAAAAGAAGCCCAACATCACTAGTAATTCAGAAAACACAAATTGAAACCACAATGAGATACCACTATCCACATATTAGAATGTCTAAAATTAAAAAGATTAATAATACCAACAAGTATTAATGAGGATATGGAAAAATTGGAATATACTACTGGTGGTAATATAAAATGATAAGCTTTGGAAAATAGTTTGACAATTTCTTAAGTTGTTAAACATACACCTAACATACGATTTACACATTTGACTTCTAGGTATTCATCCAAGAGAAATGAAACCATATGTCCTATCAGAGATCTGTACACAAAGAAGTACAAAGATGTAGTAGCTTTATACGTAATAGCCAAAAACTATATAAGCAACTCAAATGTCTATCAACAGGTAATGGATAAACTGGTTATGGTATAATCCATATAATGGAATGCTACTTGGCAAAGAAAATGAATGAACTACCAGTGAATATACACACAGCATTAATGAATCTGAAAATAATCATGCTAAGTTTAAGTGTGACAAAAGTACTGTCTGATTAGATTCACATAAAATTCTAGATAATGCAAAGTAACCTACATTGACAGAAAGCAGATCCATCATTGCCTGGGAGCAGTGCAGGACAGAGGGTATGGTAGTAGGTACTGAAGGCAGGGACACGTGGAATGACAAAGCACAGGAAGGAATTTTGTGATTAATGATACATTCATTTTCTTTATCTTTATTATGGTGATGACTTTACGAGTGGTTTCATATATCAAAATTTATCAAGTTTACACTTTAAATATGTATATTTTATTGTATATTAATTATATCTCAATAAAGCTGTTTGCAAAAAAAAAAAAAACAGAAACCTAGGGAAAAAATTTTAAGCAATACTTTTCCTATCACTCTAAACCTACAATTAATGGGTTAACTTTAAAAATGATTATAATTAGCTCCAGTAGTGTTACCTAAATCTAGGCATAAAGAATAATAGCATACAAAAAGATACAGAGAGTTGTTATTTCTGATTTATAAGCGCTGCTCTTTAAAAATCTGCCTAGTTCCCTGGAGAGTCTAACTAAGCCTTGGTATACATGAGAAGACTTTAGGGTGGAGGTTATGCTTCATATTCCTCTGTCTTATTTGAGGTACCCTCAGTTTTTCCATAAACACCTGTTGCCTTCTATCCAAATCACTCTGTTTTTTAAAGAACTTGAGAACAGGAAGACAGTATTAATATTTAGGCATGATTGCTGCCCTCAGAAATCTTGTGGTACATTCAGAGAAAAAAATTAAGTGGTAAACACACTAATTAAAAATTCAGTGTAGAGATAGTATTGCTTTAGCACCTATGCTAACTAGCATATATATCAGCATTCAAATAGAAATACAACATTGGAAAAAATGGATCCTAATCTTTCCATACACACACCAGTAGATTTAAATTTTGATTTATGATAGATTTCCAAGTTTCTTGACATAGACTTTAATATTACTTTAGTTCTAAAAAAAAAAATCAATCAGAAGAACATTTACAGACATTTTAATATGGAAAGAAGTCTACTGGGTGTTGTGTAAGAGATATTATTGTAGGAAGCACCCTAGATTAACATGAGACCTAAAATTAAGTTTTTCTCTGTGCTTGTGAGCCATAAAACCATAGAAAGTAAGTTCATTTTTGTAAGCCTTAGTTTACAGAGGAAAACAGAGACAATACTTATACCATCTATCTTTACAAGATGTAACTATCAAAGACAATTACATAATGTGCTTTTGAAAAATGTTAAAGTGCTACACACTCATAAAGTGCCATTTTGAATCAGAGATAGAATGACTTAGCATTTTCAATTTTATCTAAATCTTTAAACAAAGTCAGTAAAGTGTGATTTTTAAAAATATCATGCCATACCTTTTATGCATTTTTCAAATATTAAAGTGAAAGATTTTATCAAAAACGTATAGAACAAATTGAATAAATTGTGGTATTTTATGTCAAAAACATGCTTACGGCATATTATGCTTTGACTGAAAAAACTCCCAAATTTAGAAGCAAAAATAGAACACATATTCTCCATCAATATTTGTTAAAGGATAGGGAAGTCCAGTGATATTCTTTTTTTAAATCAAAAGTTAGAATTACACTGTCTTACTTGAGATAGACTTGCCAGTGCCTTCCTTTTCTAAATACAGGGGATGTTTGTACAACAGGGCTGACCAATTAACCTGTGGTTTATCATTTCTCTGTTGTGTCTTTGATTTTATCAATCTCACAGTATATTTTCATAATAATGTCTATTTATATTGACTATATATTGTATGGACAGATGATGGCAATTACTAAATTTTTTTTAAAACAAAGCATCTTCATTCAGAAATTTCCCAAACCACCCAACAGATAATCCCATCATGAAACTTTAAGAATCAATCTGAAACTAATTTTCAAATGTTCTAAACAGGGGTGAGAATGACAGTCCACAGGCCAAACACCTGTTTTTATACAGTCTGTGAGCTAATGACTTCTTAAATTTTCAAATGGCTCTTAAAAAAGAAAAAGAAAAGAGGATTATTGTTCCATAATACAAGGAAATTACATGAAATTCAAATTTTGGTGTCCTTAAACATAATCATGCTCATTCAGTTAAGTTTTAACTATGGCTACAAGGTTGTGGCAAGACACTATGACCCACCAAGTCTTAAATATTTACTATCTGGCCCTTTAAGAAAAAATATTCAATCCCAGGTTTGGCCAAAAGTCATTTTGTACTCCCTGCTGATGGGTGAAGGACACACAGAGAGAGAAACTACATTAAATGTAACATCAAATTTCATTGTATAACATATTTACAATTTATACAAAACACCTTAAGGATCACCATCTAATTAAATTTTTCAAACCAACTGATGAGGGAGCTAATATCACCTTCTTTATAAGTAAGAAACTGGGGCTCAGGGAGAATGTAGACCTGGAACTCATCTAAAGTCATGTGCTTCTGAGTTCAGTGCTCATTTCATTACACCCAAGATGCCTTTCTATAACAAGATAAATTTCACTATTATCATTGTCATTTTATTTAGGGAATTAATAGAGACATTAGTGGCCACAACTACAGAATAATTATAATCTAAATCATGTTACTATTTCCATAAATCAGAATATTATAGAATTATTTCAACTTATTTTTTTCCTTGAGGAAAACATCAGCTATTTCTCATATTTATGAGACCAGTTTTACCATGTTTGTTTTAAATCTGGAATACACCAGCCTTGTTATTTACCAAAATCAGCATAAGAGCTTCTTTTACCCTCCAAAAGACTTTAAAAATTTTAAGTGTTTATGAATATCAAGTGATAGTCTGAACTTTTTATAACTTTTAAGTATAAGGTTGAAAATGATGATCAACTTTTAAAATAAGAGACATATTGACTTATAATAAGCAAACTTAAAAATTTCTGAAATTCTTGAAACATACACACAAATTCAGTGCCACTATTTATTTAATCTCTCTATATGTAAGTATATTTTACTTGAAAGTGAAAATAGTAAAAAAAAAAAATTTGCCAAATGAATTTTAAATTTGGTTTCTTTGTAAATCACACAATTTGGGTGATTTTTCTACTCAGAAGTTAAGATATGCAAGTATTTAGTACTGAAATTTCATTTTTACCAGCCATATGGTTTATAGAAAGCATATTCTGTCCTTTGACCTT